CTCATAGATCTATTTCCCCATCCTCATATAATATATTTGTATATGTACATGTCTTTATCTAGAGCTCTATAAATACCCTTTGCCTCCCAGCTTCCAAGACTAACTCTTTATGGGAACAGAAAGCTTCATCTTTCTTCTGCAGAGCATCTGGTGGGTTCAAACTACTAATCTTGTGGCTGGCAGCCAAATGTGTAACCCACTGTGCCACCAGGACTCCTGTTTATAGTCTCAGAAACCCTTTATAGGATGGCTGTGAGTGGAAATTAACTCAGTGGCAGGGGGTTTGGGGTTTGCTACCTGCAAAACCCACCATGCCTCTTCCCAGTTGCATGACTAATCCTCAAAGGTTGGACTGATCACCACTTTCTCCACAGCCTCCTTCCCTTTCTCGTGACCATTTAACAACGGCATTCTGTGTGCCTTATCTTCTAGTCCTTTGTCTATCAATAAGGACCCCTGGCAGATATGAGTCGGGCTGTTGGAGACCATCATGTTCCTTGGGGCAAGGCAGGACTTTCTGCTCCCGTAAAGAGTTACAGGCTCGGAAAGGCACAAGGGCAGTTCTGCTCTTGACGTCAGTGAGTTTGGTTTGGCAGGTTGTGTGCAGATCTTGTTTGTGTTCCTCACACCTCCAGACATCTCCGCCAAGCTCAGCAATATTTCAGTGAGTGTAAATGGCCTGAAGCAGGCTGGTCATACACACAGAACTCTGCTGCCATGTTGACGCAGGAAATGGAGCACCATTAAAGATTCCCGACATGGTCGCTTCTGTCATTGTAGAGCATGACAGGCTTTTAACCTGCGGTTTTTTTCCCTTTGCTTTCTTTCCAGCCCGCCTATCAGAATCTGAGACAGCGTGTGGACAACTTTGTAGCCAATCACTTAGCCACTCACACCTGGAGCCCCCACCTCAACAAGAACCAGCTAAGAAACAATATCAGACAGCAAGTGCTCAAGTAAGTCCTGGAGTTTTACAATGGCGCAGCCCACTCTGCCTGGAAGCAGAGCCACAGGTCTGTTGTCTCAGGGCACGGACAATTTTTATCAGTTTTATCAGCTGTGGTTGGTCTGCTTCATACAATGCAGTCTAATCATACTACACCTCCATAAAAGCTGAATTTTCAGTAGGAGCTGAAAAGGTCTTTCACGGCAAAAGGAAGGTTTTAGTACCTGCTGGTATAGCTGCAGCGACAGCTTCACACATTTCCTTTGCCAGTCCACCACAGCCCTTACGCAGCATTCACTCGTCTTGGAGTGAGGCACCTGCAGCTGCAAACTTCCGTCTCCTTTGTCCACTCAAGTCCCCTTTCCGCCCAAGAAAGTTGCAACACAGACAAGCACTGCGAGAAACATCTCGAATTTTTTTAAGCCTTTGATTTTGAATTACATTCTGTTCATTGCGTGATCAGAAACCTAATTTTTCACAACCCCACATTCAGTCGTGACCCCTTTGGGGGTCAGACAACCATTTCACAGGGGTTACCTGATTCCTAACAGTAGCAAAATGACAGTGATGAAGCAATAATGAAAATAATGTCATGGTTGGGGGTCACGACAACATGAGGAACTGTATGAAAGGGTGACGGCATTAGGAAGGTTGAGAACCACTGCCATTTAGGGTTGCAACCCACGCGTTCAAAAGCTTTGCCCACAGTACAGATGAAGCACTTCTGCTTTGCCTTCTGACATCATGGCTCTTCTCGGCTGCGTGGGAGCACATCTGGCACCATGAGTGGTGCTGCATGTGCATACCGTGGGCCTGGGCAAGGCTGGCAGGATCGCAGTAGGCGCGATGAGAAGTGCACAGGTTCCTGTGATGAGCCGCTCCGAGGACTGGTCAGCCTTACAGCACTTTTTCTAAAACCCTCTTGCAAGTGAATGCACACAGCTCAAACCCGTGTTGCTGAAGGGGTCAACTGTAATTACTTGGAGAGAACAACAAAATGGCTTTATTTTTTTTAGAAATCTAGATACATTGTTAATAGATAGCAACAGCTAGAATATCCTATGCAATGACTTTCACAAATCTTTCTTGATCCTAAAAGAACAGGCTTTCATTATTTCTATTTTATAAAGAAGGACATCATAGATCCCTGAAATAAAAATATTATCCCTTGATCTAAGTCCAGATTTCCTCTTTTCTAAGATAGGTTTTATCGAGTGTTTGTTTTCACTTATTCCAAGGTTTTACTCTGCTGTTTAGTGATGAGGTAGCCTGCACATACCCCCACCCCCACCCCCCCAAAAAAGCATTTGACTCTATCAGCCTTGTTTTTGGTGAATGGTATAGTAAACAATAATGAAAAAAACTGGAAATGTTCAGAGAACATTTCTTAATCAACTCGACAGCAACAACAAAAATTGTACTTACTCTAAAAATGACTTACTGTCTTTTCAATGTTAGTATTTTCCTAGCTGAGAAGATTTTGCCCTTTTCTCCTTGCTTGACCACTCCAGGAAAGGTGACCGAGCTATTGAAACAGTGCCTGCTCTTCCGCCTTGACAGATACTGACCCACAAGTGCATCTTTGGGAGCCCTGTGTGGCCTTTAAACAGTGAAGTGAATCTCCTTTCCCCCGCCGCCCCCCCATCCCCCTAGTTCCTTAGACACCTTTCTCGACATTCTTGGCCTGACTCCCAGGCAGCTCTGCAACAGAGTCTGCACACTGGCTGAAAGGCAGCCCCGGGCAGCCCTCAGTAATACAGGAAGCCAGGGGCCTGAGGAGCCTGCTTTTCCCCTGGAGAGAAGGAGAGAAAGGAGGTGTAACAGTAGTGTTGTTGTCTGCGCTTTCAAGGACGTTTGAGGAAACTGTAAGCAAGTCCATGTGAGAACCAAAGATGCCATTCGAGGGCTGCCCAGAAGTATCTGTTGGGAAAAGTCAGAGCCGTTTCTGGTAAAATAAGAGACAGAAGAGGCCTCTGAGGTGACAGGCCTGCAGGCCTTAAAAGGACCATAGCCAGGACTTCAGGGTATTGGGGAGGAGCTGGAGGGTGGGGACGGGCAGGCTCGTCAGATTTTCACCGGGCCATTTCCAGGGCTACCTCCTCCAGTGTTTCCGGGGGCCGCAGTCTTCATTTGTGGGTAGACCAAGGGAAGACAAGCTCTACCCCTCAGCATGGGCAACAAGGGAAGTGGTCATTTATTCTTTTTATTTCAGGAAGCTAAACTAAATGTGGGGGCATTAGGGGCCATCCGGTTGATTTTCAGCTCAGAGCCGCCTCCCCGTGAGGTTTGCTAGGTGCTGATCTGTTCAGGGGCAGGTCCCCAGTTGTCTCTCAGGACACCACTGGATGGGTTCAAAGGTGTAGCCTTCTGGATAGCAGCCAGATGTTCCCGCTTGGCTCCTTAAACAGAACATAAGTCCATACCATTCTAGGTGTACAAAAATAAAACCTAGCAGCCACAACACTAGTTGTGAGTGATAGATAAGCCAGCATTAATCCAATGGGAAATGAGGGGTTCCCTCTCAACACCTTTAAAAACAGGACCACCAGCTCACTCAATCCCAGACAATGTAGATGCTGCTCTTCCCAGACCATCTGAATGCTCATGTGGCTCTGTTGTTGAACATTTTTAAAAGAACCGTTCTCGTTTTTTGAGATGTCACTAGTAAATTTCTTATTGCTATTAATAACATAGTAATACTTCCTCAAAGAAAAAGACTAGTTGGTTTAAACTAGCAGTATGCAGAGTCTTGCTCTAGTGCACCAGTTATCAACCTGTGGGTCGCGACCCCTTTGTGGGTGTTGAATGGCCCTTTCACAGGGATCACCCGAGTCATAACAGTAGTAAAATGATAGTTATGAAGTAGCAACGAAAATAATTTTATGATTGGGGGGGTCACCATAACATGAGGAACTGTATTAAAGGATCAAGGCATTAGGAAGGTTGAGACCCCTTGTCCCAGCAAGCACAATTTCAAGCAGCTTTCCATTCAAATGCTTTGCAGAGTTCTAAATTGCCTCTCTTGGGTGAGACTGTGAAGTGGATGTTTTTCTAGCGTAAAAACTAATCATTCCATATGGTTCAGAGCACTGGTCACTCAGGAGAACCTCTTCTTCTCCATGCACATTCAGTTGTACAGCAGAATCTGAAAAACCTAGGGAACTCAGGATAGTATCTAACAGAATTTAAAATGAAGACAGGGAAATAGCTTTAACTAGAAAAACGCCAGCTAATCTCATTTTAGTTCTGTAGCTGGGGCCACACCTCAGGCCGCGAGCCTGATCTGAGCAGGTGATGGGCAGCAGAGCCCCTGTTTGTACATACGATCCGAGCTGACTGCTGGGTGAGAGATGTTGAACTTAGGTGTGTTTTCATCTGGGCACTATTTGCAGAGGTGCCATACAACAGGCAGGAGGTGTGTTTGTAAGATTGATTTTATTTTTTCTGGTTTCTTCTCCACCTGCTACACTTTGAAGACATTTCTAAAAAGTGGCAATCTTTGTAAGATTGGCAGTTTTTATCCTAGACCTTTCCAAAGCTAGTAACCTACTTTGTTCAAATTGGCTCGTTTTTTCTCTGTGGCCCAAGTTATACTATCACAAGACTGCAAGATGCCTCTGGAGATAAATTGGATCCAGCCTCCACGCCAGACAGCCCTGTACTCAAAAATAGCCTTGTGCAGGGTAAGGAGAGCGGCCTCCTCTCCTGTCCCGTAGAGAATGCAAGGCCTCTCTGCCAGCACTAGCCCGACAGGATGGTTCCACTCCTCCACTTCTCTTCAGGAAGAGTCGAGGGTTAAGTGCATTTCTCAAAACAAATCCACATCCTCTCATTTTGCTCAGACGCCTTCAGTGCTCTTCATGTTTCAGACATCACTGTCCTCTTTGCAGGCCCCTTCACCTTGAGCCCCTTTGTTCCCTTCCCTTCTGTGGCAGCTGGACCTGAGCATCTGTCTCCTTCTCGGTGAAGCAGATCCTACCACCACACAGGCTCCCAGCCTCACTGTGGGCCCGGGGTGCGAATCAGTGTCTGTGACTCGGTGGTTGGAATCTGCTTTCTGCACCAGCGCAGACAGCATGTCTGCTCTTTGGCTGCCCTGCTGACCAGCACGATACCCGTTGGGTACAAGCTCCTCGCGACATGGCTGTGGAACAGATACTCTGTTCCAGTGGTCCAGCGAGACGACAGTAGAAGGAAAGCCAGAAGTCTTGTTTTGTTTTCATTTGTCAGAAGTTGTGTATGTTTAGTGTGATGAAACTGCAGTTTGTGTTCCTCAGTTGCGCACAGACTCTGGTGTTTATCAAAGGCCAACTTACCTTTTTCTGTTTTATTAGAAGCGCTGCTTCCACGAGTAGTGTCCCCATGTGGTACAGGCAGGGCTGTGATGAGGCAGCCTCCTCTCTGTACACACAAGATAGTGTGCTGTGTCTGTCTCTAAGGGTGGGCCATGTGTGTCTGTGTGTGTGTTTCCATCTGTGACTTGGTGGTAAACCATAGTAGGGCAAAGCTACTCTCCTCCACACATAAAACCTACCTTCCATTGCTTAATCGGTGCCTCTGTCTAGAGGAGTGCCTCAGGCCAGGGTAAAATGAAACACAGGTCCACTAGTGGTCCCGGGCTTTCCAGAATTTCATGTAAGTGATAGTTACTTTTATGCCCTGAATTCCCCTATGTTTCAGGTCAGGAATGTTGGAGTCTGGCATCGACAGAATCATTTCTCAGGTTGTGGATCCAAAGATCAATCACACGTTCAGACCTCAGGTAGAGAAAGCCGTGCATGAGTTTTTGGCCACATTAAATCACAAGGAGGAGGCAAGTGTGGGCACCACTCCCGAGGACGAGAAGCCAGATGCGGCTGTCATTACACAAGGTACTCCCACCAAGTGCTCTTCTCTGTGAACCGAGTCTCAATATCGGGGTGCTTGATGCCTTCAATCAACATGCCTTTACCAGGCTCCTCAGGGTTTCCCAAAGTGAGCAGACTGCAGCATCCAGAGGGGGTGCAAAAGCAGGCCTACACTGTATCCCAGATGATGGGCTATATTACATTGAATTGCCAGGACAGCGGGCCATGCATAATGTTTTTTTGTTTGTACTTTTCAGAAAAGAAATTCAATAGGCCAAAGAAGTTTGGGAATTTATGAGATATCTATTGAAATTGTACTTGCTTTCAGCTTCCTATACTGGCATCACATTGTTTTTTTGGGTTTTTTTTTAAATTATTAGGTTTTTTGTTTGTTTTCACAGTTTTATTGACATATAGTTCACATACCATACAATTGAACTTCTTAAATATATTTTTCAAGCTGTGCAGTCATTGCCACAATCAATTTTAGAACATTTTCTTCATTTTTGAACTCATCATTATTCCCTCTCCATTTCCCCCCAGCCTCCCATCATAGCCCTAAGAAAGTGTTAATCTAGTTACTGTCTCTGTAGACTTGCTTATCTTGGATTTCATATGGGCAGCTAACCGCAAGGTTTAGCAGTTCAAAGCCACCAGCTGCTCCACGGGAGAAAGTTGAGGCTTTCTACTCCTATAAAGAGTTGCAGTCTGGGAAACCCCCAGGGATTATTCTACACTGTCCTATGGGGAGGAACCAATTCAATAACTGTCAATTTGGTCTTGTTTGGATTTCATATAAAGAAGATCATACACCAAACCCTGCAGCAACAACAAAATAAATCACAGAAAAAACTTCAATCCAAAAGAAAGCAGATAATAAACTAGAGCAAAGATGTTAAATTTTAACCTAAGCTTATTTACATTAATTCACCTTCCATTGCACTCTAAGGGCAAGGCTATTCACATCCCTAGTCAATGGTCCAAGAGAATTCAGTGGAGACTTAATCCACCTGGGAATTCTGCAAATGGATTTTAGGCTTCCCCTGTCATCCGTACCCTTCATACTGGCATTACATCTTTTGTTAAAACAAATTAGTATTTTAGTGATGATGATGATGATGATATGTGTGTGTGTGTTTGCATTATAGTAAAGGGAATAGAGGGAATAACAAATTGTGAGAAAATATATTCTTTTGCTGGGCACTAGACTTGCATCTCTGATTCACATGGTTCCTTCCTTTCCTATGTTACTACTTAGCATGATAGAGAATGGTTTAGACAATACTGAAACCTAGCATGTGTGCCTGCAGATCCAAAGGCGTGTGAATGATCTCTGCATGTGCATGATGTAATGATAATAGTGACATATACTGGTCATTCAACAAAGGTGCTTGCCTTCTGCCTAAGTGTATTCTTGTCTCATTTCCCCTGGAAGGTGTCCCTGTTCCGGGGCCCAGTGCTAATGTAGCCAACGATGCCATGTCCATCTTGGAAACCATCACGTCTCTTAACCAAGAAGCTAGTGCTGCCAGGGCCTCCACAGAAACATCATCAGCCAAGGCCAGTGAGAGAATGTCCAAAAAACTGGTGTCTCAGCCCAGCATGGATACAACCGCTGAGAAAGAGAGGTCGTCCGAGGACGTGAGCGATCGAGAGAGGCCACCCCCAGACTCTGCCGGGGATGGGCTGGAAGCAGCCCTGAAGTCTGAAGACACCAGTGACCTCCCTGGCCCACTTGAAGAAATTAAAAACCACACAAAAGAGAGCACTAGCTTAATTCTGGTCAGTAAGGAAGTTCAGCAGGACAGCGGTGACCAAAAGAATAAGCCCACTGACAAAAGCGAAAAGAAAGCGGATAGCACTGAAAAGGGAGAACGGAAGAAAGACAAGAAGGAGAAGCCCGAGAAGAAACTTGATCACTCCAAAAGGAGTGAAGAGGCACCAAAAGTAAAAGATGAAAGGCAAGGGAAGGAAAAGGAAGCAGAGAGCTCCAAACTTCCTGCAGAAAAGAGCAGTAGTAAAGCTAAAGCCCCCGAAGGGTCTAAAGAAGGTACGGAACAACTTGCAAACATTCTACGTCTCTTGAGAACAAAGGCTGTCTTTCTGGAGCGGGTGAGGAGGGAAAGGGATCATCAAGTATTTGCTTATCAGATTTCAACAGACGTGTTTGGTAATTGTTTCGAAGCTGCAAGCACTGTCCCCTTTGTTAAAAACAGGAAGGACAGTGAGCATTTGTATATTTCTTTTCCACATGAAGGTATCCGTTCACAGAGTGAGCATTCTGGGGAGTTGTGATGGGGAATTGTGGCTTTCTGACATGCATTACTCCTCGCGGCTTATTCCATAGTTGTAAAACAGACAAGGAACACCCCAATATCTTCCACTGATACTCTGTATCTGGTTCTTTAAAATATTAGGGGGGGGGGAAATATATATATATTACATTGTAAATACCTTGCTGCTTTTGTTTACATTGCTTATCTCTTACTTGCAAGGTTGGCAGTTCAAACCCACCAACCGCTCCATGGGAAAAAGATGAGGCTGTGTCCTCCCATAAAGACTGTCAGCCTCAGAAACCAAACAGGGCAGTTCTGCTCCTCATAAGGTTGCTGTGAGTTAGAATCAACTCAGCAGCAGTGGGGTTTTTAGTGGAATAGGCCTTTGTGTTTCTGCAAATCCTGCATTATTTGCTGTCAACGGATGAGAGAGGTTTATCATTTCTTGAGTAAATGCTCATTTCTTTGGCATGCATTTAAAGAAGCACAGTTTCAGCATGACAGAAACTGGACTTGAGTGGGTGCTAGTAACCAGCTGCTGTGTTTGTGTTTGGTTTTACCCTTGAAGACTGCTCGACGGTCGACTCTGATGTGGATGGACTCACTGACATCACGGTCAGCTCGGTCCACACCAGTGACCTTTCGTCTTTTGAAGAAGACACTGAGGAGGAAGATATGATGTCTGATAGCACCGAGGAAGGCGAGATCACATCAGACGGTAAGGCACCTTCCTTGAGGCTGCCCCTGCAGCGTGAGGTGCCTGTCCCGCCAACTCCTTCTCTCACAGAAGGCCATGCCCCACGGGGTGTGGGGCGATATAGCAGGAAGTTGGTTTCCAAGTCCCGGCTGTGGAGATGTTCTCTCAGAGCAAACTCTGGTCCCCCATCCCTGAACCTCACCTGCATGCTGTGGTGTGTCCACTTCGCAGCTCTGTGCCCAGGTTACTGTAGGACCGGACAAGACTGTTGAGCTCGCCTGGATGGAGTGCTTCCCGGGTTCCAGGCTCTGTGCTATGGGCTTTTAGGGAACTGACTCCTGGGTGCTGACCACCAGCCAGGAGACAAAGTCACAGAGAGTGGGGCTTGACCACGGGCATGAGCCTAAATTCCGCCCCAGAACCTCCACCACCCACCATTTTCACTGCTCTCTGCCCTGTAGTTCACTTGCTATCAACTCCCCAAATGCTGTTGTTTGCAGAGGCCAGTATGCAGCAGCTGGGGTTTCTGCAGGGATCCCAGTGGGGAATAGTAGAGGCAAAAGTGGAAGGAAGGAAAGGGGTTGATAAAATTTTTCATTTTATTACTGCTACCAATGAGCTACTCAAACATGCCTGTCTTTCCTTTTTTTCTTAGCAGCCAGGAGGGAAATCCAAAGGCCGCAGTGCCAGCACCCCTACTGAATCTGCCCCCAAGGGGTCACTTTGGCCCCCTTCCTGGGGATCATCTGCTCACGCTTTGAGCCCTGCACCTACTCACCCACAGAAAATTCAATTGGATGCCTTTGTAGGACTTTTTACAGGTTTTCCCGGAGCAGAGCTAGAATTTATCAACATCATATCCAAAATACAAGAACCGTTTGGGAGCACTAGGTAGTGCGAGAACGGAGCCGTGGCGGTGCTGTGGGTTAGGCATTGGGCTGCTAACTGCAAGGTCAGCGGTTCTCACCCACCAGCCATTCCACAGGAGAAAGCTGAGGCTATCTGTTTCCACAAAGATGACACGACCTCAGAGAGCAACTCTGTATGAGGTCTCTCTGAGTCGGAGTCGACACAATGGCAATGTGTACGTTGTAGGAGCAGGATGCCTGCCGGGTAGTGCAGTGGGTTAAGCATTGAGCTGCCAACCAAGAGATTGCACCTTTGAACTTGCTAACTACTCTCGCAGAGAAAGATGTGACCATCTGCTTCCTTAGTGATTTAGACTTGCAAGCCCTACAGCGTGGCCCTGGCTTGGAAGTGACTCCGTGATGGGGAGTAATTAGTGAGAAAGGAACTGAGTGGTCCGGTGGTTAAGCACTCTGCTGCAGTTCTACCCTGGAGTGAGTTTAGGTTGGGGGTCAGTAAAAACAAAGTGGCATCAAGTGAGCTTCCAAAAACTGGGCAAGAGCTGTGCTGATGCCCCTCTGTGTAACAGTACTGAAACTGCATCTGATGCTTAAGTAACTCATGTTGATTTTTCTCCTTTTGGTCACAAGCACTCCTCTTTCTGCCCACTTCCTTCCAGATGAAGAGCAGAGCAAGCAGAGTAAAACGAAAGCACAGACCAGCAATCCTGGCGAGGGAAAAGCCAAAAATGTACGGCATGCTTATGTCCACAAACCGTACCTTTACTCCAAGTACTACAGCGATTCTGATGATGAGCTCACTGTGGAGCAGCGGCGGCAGTCTATTGTAAGTCAGACTTGGCCTCTTATTTCCACCTTCAGTCAGGCCTACATGCAGGAACGCCTGCACAGGCTGCTGACAGTTCTGTCAGCAGTCCCGTCCCATCTCGGCCTCCAGAGACTCTGCTGCTTGGCTAGGAAGATTAGACATAAACGTGTGACTGAGATGTGCACCTGCTCATCGTTAGCAACGAGTACCTGGTGACAGCCTAAGCGTTTCAGTCTGCAGAGATTTGAATTCAGTTTGGACAAAACCATGCAAAGAGACAGAATGGTATAGAGCTTTAAACGTAATATGAAGGTGGGAAATGCAATCTTCCTTATTTGCTTGGTTTGAAGATGCTTGTAAGAAATGCCAATGAATTAACTGCAACTTTTTTGAGGGGGAAAAACAAGAAATGCTAACTTGTGTATACACACACATCAACACAAAGTGGCTCCTAGTTTCAGACGCATTAAAATAGGAAAGCTTGGGCATCTTAGAATTAGGAAATATTATCCCCAAGAAAAGAAATCTTTGTGGGAAAACAACAAAGCATAATGATTGTTACTGGCCCTGTTTGTGGTTTTAATTATTTTTTTATCCTATTTCGCATTTGCTAAAGTTCGCATGGTTAGCATCTATCTTGTGATGGTTGGAAGGGTATGGCACTCCTTTTGTTTATATAGAAGAGCTGCCACAGGAGTAAGGAATGGTTGTAAAGTCAGTCTATGAGCTGAAGTAAGAAATGCTCTGTTAAGGATTGACTGCATCCATGATCCTGTGGGTGACTCTCAAGGGTCCATAATGAGTGGGCCCTGCACTGAAGTTCTGTGGGGACCCTGGGAGGAGAAAGGGTGACGTGGACACCACCTCCCTGGAGCTTCCAGACTACTGGTCAGAGAAGCCTTCCCCAAGGAGACTGTAGTTAAAATGGATGGTTGATTATTTGCAATTTAACTAGAGGTAGAAGGAGGAAGTTCCAAAGGGGCAGGAAAGCCCATTTTTTTACATTATTAAAAAATGAAGAGGATCCAGAACAGAATCCTGACTGGGGTTCGAGAGTTAGGCTGCCTTTTAGTCATTCTTGTGAGCAGGTTGTCATCATGGAGTGCCATCGTTGGGGTCTCGTCGCAGGAATATCACAGCTAGGATATCCTTGTGGGGTGTGATTGTAGGGCATCATCATAGTGTATCATTGCCATGTGACTTTAAGGATTCTGAGCCAGCCTTGCAGGGAGCAGTCTGGGGCAGGAGACACCAGAGCCAACTTCTGTGGAGTTCAGGTGAAACCTTGCTCATGTTATCACCATCCTTTGCTCAATTAATACAAGCCTGAGTGGAAAGCATGGTCTGATTCTTTGCCTTCATTTCATGCTTCTTTCTGGCAAAGGTTGCCGGTCAGGAGTTAGAGCTGCACTTAAGACTTTCGGTACTGTGAAACTGTAAACTCTGGGACAGTTGTGGAAACACTTCACATCTGCCTCTATTTTTCTGGTAGCTTCCAACTTCTAAAAAGTCACGTGGAAAAAATAGATTGTAAATGTGTGGGTTACAGGGGCACGTCAGGGAAGCTTTGCAGGTTCAAGCCAGAGCACCCCAGGGAAGCAGATAATGCTGTACAGCTAGTCGCCTTGATGTTCTGGTTTCTCAGTTCATATAAAAGTTATGTTCATACTATACTGCAGTCGCATTATGAAAATTTCTGAAATATTGTGAGATTGGCCAAAATGTAACTTAGATACCCAAAGTGAGGTCTCACACCGTTGGAAACACTTGGTAGACTTGACCCTGCAGGACTGCCACAACCCTTCCATTTGTAAAGAACTCGGCGTCTGGTGAAGGCAGTAACACGAAGCCCATTAGCTCAAGGTACACGTGTGCAAACGTGCTGAGTCTAGTTGCTAAGACAGTCAAACAGCAAACGAATTTTTTTCCTTAGAAAAATTCCTTAACATGTTCTTTTTTTGTTTGGTTTCGTTTTCCCTTGTAATCTCAGAGTAATTGTGAGTATTTTGTGCTATTAGGCTAAAGAAAAAGAAGAGAGGCTTCTAAGAAGACAAATTAATAGAGAGAAGCTTGAAGAAAAGCGAAAGCAGAAAGCAGAAAAGACAAAGTCTTCAAAAGCCAAGAGTCAAGGTGGAGAAGGTACTAGCCCGCAGAGCTTCGATCTAGCTCGCATGCTCCGCCGCCCGCTAGGTACTCCTGTTACTAGGAAGTGTAAGCGTCAAAAAGAGCATCTTTTCCCAGATGTGGAAGATTTCCTTAGTTCGCATCCTGTCACATTTAGAAGTCTTTTTTTCCTTTTAATCTGTTGCTCTATAAGCATTCTGTCAGGTGCCGGCTCACTCGACTCACTTGCTAACAGTTCCATTTTTCAATGAACTACCATTGGAATATGAATCAAGGCTAGCTTGTGCTATTGGTGGAGTTAACTTATACTTTAAATAAAATAATGCCAAATAGTCATCTAGAATGTTAGTTTGAACTAAATTGAATTCCTCGGGGTATTAACCCTATGTAAAATGTATATACTCAATTATATGAATGTATGTATATATGCAAGTAAGTTAGAAGTGTAGAAGTGGGTGAAGGGAGCCGTCGGATGGTGTAAGATATGACAAAATAATAATAATTTATAAATTACCAAGGGTTCATGGGTGGAGCGGAGAAGGTGGGGGGAAATGAGGAGCTGATACCAAGGGCTCAAGTAGAAAGCAAATGTTTTGAGAATGGAGGGAAACAAATGTACAAATGTGCTTGACACAATGGATGAATGTATAGATTGGGATAAGAGTTGCACGAGCTCCCAATAAAATGTTTTTTAAAAAAAATGTTGCTACTAGGGTTAGTTCATACATGCCTGGGTTTATTCCACACAAATATGTTTAGATATCTGTGTGATCGGTGGATGGGTGCAGACAAGTTCTCTCAAAAATAGATTTGTCTCTGTCTTTTTTGGGTACCCTGGTGGCTTAGTAGGTTGCATGTTGGGCTGCTAACCACAAGCTTGGCAATTTGAAACCACCAGCCACTCTGCAAAGGAAAGATGAGGTTATCTATTCCCATAAAGATTTCGTCTCAAAAATCCACAGGGCAATTCTGCCATAGTCTATAAGTTGCTGTGAGTTGGAATATACTTGTTGGCAATGAGTTTTGTTTTTTGTTTTGTTCCAATCAAAATAGCAGCTTCCAAGAGGGTCTGTTAAATTTAAGGCACAGTAGCCAGCACAGAAGGTGATGGTGACTATTTAGGGGAGTCTAAAGGGCTAATCTTGATTTTTTTTTTTAATGTTTTTTGTAGGACACAGAATGATCATCGAGCTTATTAGCAAAACACTTTAAGAAAATTGAAAACGGCATTGTTGAGGAAAGGCTAGACAGTTGTACCGAGTAATTTTTTCCCATCATGACCATGCACCTACTCATCATTTAAGGGTAACCAGGACTGGCCTGGCTTTCACTGGAAAACCTTGCCTCATTCACCCTACAACCCACTCCTCCCCACTTCAAACCGCTTTTTGTTCCCCAAACTCAAGCCAATTTCAAAGGAACATGCTGTGAGTCCCTTGAGGATGCCAAAGCTGGCATTTTGATGTGGTGTCAATCAAAGGGGACAGACCCTTCAGGGAGAGGTTACAGAGAGAAGCCCTGCCTTCAGAAGGGTATACAGTGAACCCTCGTTTATTGCGGTTAATCGGTTCTAGACCCTACCGTGATAAATGAAATTCCGCAAAGTAGGATTCCTTATTTGTAAATCAAATATTTTCGTAGTTAGAGCATAGAGGACATGAAAAAACACCCTTTAGTCACCATTACACTCGTGTTACCCAATTTATTAAACGAAAAAGGGAAAATACAGTAAAATATTTTGGACGTTACAATTATCATTTATTATTTATTATATTATTTATGGCATCAAGCGTGTACAGTATGAGCCAATCAGTGGCAGTAATGACAGAGCATGCACTGTTACGCAAAAACCGCGATAGAGTGAAGCCGCGGAAGTCGAAGCGCGAAGTGGCGAGGGTTCACTGTAGACCAAGATGGAGGCCATGTTGGGAAATAATGGCGTCACATTTTTGATGATTTTGTTTAATAAAGTGTCTGTGAGTGTGTAGCAATGCATTGTGACTGCGTGTGTTTAAAGTGTTAGCATTTTGGTTGGTCTTTTCATGGCATGTTCATTTCAAGTAGAAAAGACAAAGACTTCTCCATTAAAATACTCCGAACGCAACCTAAGGATACTGGTAGAGCACTTTCTCTCTCTCTCTCCTTTTTTAAAAAGTAAATATGATGAGACGATATTAATGGAAAACAAGTGCTATGTAGTTTATAAGCCTCTTCTGAAATATTGCTCAGGGGTTGCTTTTTTCCTAGGCAAAAGTAGTGTGGACGTGGAAGAGCCATCTGCCAAGAATGTGGAACCCAAAGCCCCTCGAATTAAAGAAGTCCTTAAAGAACGCAAGGTTCTAGAGAAAAAAGTAGCTTTAAGCAAAAGACGGAGAAAAGATTCCAGGTACTCGTTTTATGTGACTATGTTCCTGTATGTATTGTAAAATAATGCCTTTTAAAAATATCTTCCTGAAAAATTCTTACGTATGATTCCCACAAACTTCATGTTCAACCTTTTTTTTAAACCTTGTTTACTTAGGAATATTGAAGAGAATTCCAGAAAGAAACAACCTGAAGAAGATTCTAGAGAAACTCCCAAAACAAACGAGGTATGTCTTAATCAATGAAGCTTCATTGGAATGGTCTGTTGTTAGGCTAGGTGTATGGTTCATTCAGTCCTTTGGAGGGAAACTTAAAAGACACTTTAATCCTCTCCAAGGTAAGTGAAAGTTCCTACAGAATTCTTAACTCCTATTAAATTTTTAATTCCTCCGCTTTTGGAAGATTTTAACTTTAAAGTATATTTAAGGTCTTACCATGTAAGTGGAAGTATATTAGTCTTCATGCTGAAGTTGAAAGAAGTACAGTATAAACTGGCTCAGAAGCACAAAAACTTTTCTGAGGACTTGAGCCATACTTGAATAAGAAAAATTAGAGCTAATTGTCAGTAAGGTACCATTTATATTTCAGACCTCATTAGTAGATTGTTCCACAAATAGTCTAATTCATACCAAATAACTAAGTAAATAAGCCCACTGCCATCGAATCAATTCCAGCCCATAGTGACCCCATATACTCCAAAGCTTTCTAAATCTTCAGAGGCGAAAAGAGTCTCATCTTCTGTAAAGCAGCTGATGTTTTGAACTGCCGTCCTTACCTGACAGCGCTCCCAGAACTCCACAATAAAGGACTCGGGTTTCCTTCATTTCCTGCTTTTCAGTAGAAAAATCTCAGCTGTCTTCATCATCAGGTCTTATGTTTTTAGGCTGAAAAGAACAATGATTAAGTACCGAGGAACCCTGGCGGAGCAGTGGCCAAAGGCTGTGCTCCTAACCAGAAGGGGAGCAATGCACGCCCACCAGCCACTCCATGTGCGGGTCGGATTCCATAATGATGTACAGCCTTGGAAGCCCTGTGGGCTAGTCACGCTAAGTCAGGATCCACTCTGAGGCACCTGATTTGGTTTCTGGTATTTGTGTGAGCACTGGATGGGCATAAGTGATCCAGATTGACAAATCTTCCTAATTAAATGCACAGATCTCAGGAGAAATACCTCGTCTATAAAGCTGCCCCGGTGTACTAGGAAGGACACTAGGCTCCAGAGCGTGATCATTTCAACTCACTCATAGCACAACAGCTTGTTATTCAGGTGTCATTACGCATACGATGAGGTTAGCACTCAACTCCAAGGAATCCCCATGTGCAGTGGTTAAAGGGCTCCGCTGCTAGCCAGAAAGGTCGGTAGTTTGAACCCACCAGCTGCTTCACAGGAGGAAGATGTGGCAGTCTGTTTCTGCAACTACTCCAGCCTAAAAATCCCCATGTAGCAGTCCTCCTTTGACTCAGGGCCGCTCTCAGCAGGAGCTGTCTCAGTGGCGACAGACTTGTTTCTTTCTTTGTAGTACCAACTGTAGGTAGCTTACAAGGATTAAGTGAGCTGTGCTGTAGGGGACAATGATTTGGCTGTACATAGTAAATTCACTCAAACATTACATTTGAATCAAAAATTGAATTTTGGTGTCTCTTGCTTGAATTTTTATTTTCCTACAGCATTATGAAAAGGAAAAGGTGTCCTCGTCAAAGGATCCGAAGCATGCTCATGTGAAAAGCGATTTGAACAAGCCTGCCCGGAAGCTTTCAGAGTGTGTGCATTCCGCCGATGAGAACAAAAGTGACTCCAAAGTGGAAAGAGAGCATAAGAGACGGACGTCTACCCCTGTCGTGGTGGAAAGCGCGCAGGACGAGCCGGACACGCGAGATGGGCGGAGGCAAGTGGAGCGCTCAGAACCGAGCGCTGAGGAACCACAGAAGCAGAAGAGCACACTCAAGAATGAGAGGCCCCTAAAGAAAGAGGACTCGGAAACGCCACATTCCAAGAGCCTGCCTAGGAAAGAGGGGAAGTCCTCCAAGGAGAAGCCTGAGAAGGAGAGGGCTCTGTCAGAAGACAAATCGGCTACCAAACGTAAACACACAGGGGACAGTGTACAGAGAGCAGCCGAGGAGGCCGAGCTGCACTCTTCTGAGAAAGGCCTAAAAGCAGACGAAAATGTTCCTAAGCAAAGCCAACAAGCAAAGCTTTCTTTAGAAGACAGAGCAGACCGCAAAGGCAAGCATAGGAATGAGAGGAAATTATCAATTTTGGGAAAAGATGGAAAACCAGTTTCCGAATACCTTATAAAAACAGATGAGAACATCCGTAAAGAAAACAGTAAAAAGGAGAGGCACCTGACAGCCGAGAAAACGAAAGCAGACCACAAATCAAGAAGATCGAGTGATTCCAAAATCCAGAAAGAGGCTCTTAGTTCCAAGCAGCATGGCGTCGCATTACCAAAAAGAAGTGAAAGTTATTCAGAAGATAAGTGTGATACGGACGCCACGAATTTAGAAAGTAATTTGAAACCAGAAGAAGGTGCTCAGAAAGAGAAGCGAAGGACAAAGAGCTTCATAGAAGACAGACTCGTGTTAAAGTCTAAATCCAAAAGTCAAGGCAAACTGTCAAAAGGGACTGAAACAGAATTACCAGAAAGTGTCACAAAACAAGCAGTCACCCCCAGAACTGATAAGGAAAAGAACACGGAAGAAAGTGACTCAGATAAACAGCGAAAATCTAAGAGTGAGGACAAGCCCTGTGAAGAACCAGGTGCCGAGCCCCTGCCAGAGAGCTCTTCCTCGTCCGCACACTCGACTCAGAAAGAGCCCAGTCACAGAGCTAAGCCGTCCTGGTCAAGGGAGAAGTACAAGAGTGATTCCAGTGCCTCCAGGCTTGACAGAAAGTTATCTGATGGGCACAAGAGCCGGGGCTGGAAGCATAGTGGTAAAGACGTGAAGAAGAAGGAAGAGAGTAAATCGGATGACAAGGACGGGAAGGAAGCTGAGAGTAATCATGAAAAGGTGAAGGGGAGTAGTTTAGTGGAGAAAAAAATGAGTCGGAGATTGTCTGAAAACCGAAGAGGAAGCTTATCACAAGAAGTGACCAAAGGAGATGAAAAATTAACAGGCAATAGTTTGGGCACTTCCAGTATTTCTTCCCTTCAGAGACCAAAAAGGAGTGGCGATGCCACAGTGCTTCCTGAACAAGAGCCCATGGAAGTTGACTCTGAGCCAGCCATTGCAAATGTATCTCCAATATCTAAAACCCAAAACACCAGCAATAATAGTTCTCAGCGAGACACCGACTCTGAAAATACCATCAAAACAAAATCGACTTACAGTCTTCTGAAGGAAGAACTAAGAACGCCCACAGTAGATTCAAGAGCAGCAGCCTCAGCCTGTAAGCCAGGACGTGGGGTGGTTGTAGGTAATTCTGAAAAGCACGCTGGCCACAGAAGCACCCTGGCCAAGAAAGTTCACACCCCAAGTGCTATTTCCAAACCAGCTCCTGAGGAGAAAGAGGTCATCCAACCAGGAACTCCCGACATGAATGTTGGCTCTGAAACGAGTCACCGAACGTTACCTCGTGCCCCATCAGAAAATGAGAGGACCCGAAAAACTTTGAAAAACACCTCCAGGGCCCCCGAAGAACGCGCTGCTCAAGGAGGTGCTGCCCATGAACATTCCAGAAATGTGGACGCCTCGCCGTCCTGCAGCTCAGCGACTGTCGTGCCTCAGAAAGGGGTTCAGGACTCAGCTGTGATTCCTGTGACTGCCAAAAGAACTGTTGTAGAAGGTGGTGCAGCTAGTCCCTTCCTCACGGACCACTCCGCTCTCCCCAGTCAAAAGTTGACTGTGGGTGACTCGGATGTCCCTAGGGCCAGTGACACCAAAGAAGATGGTGAAGGTTCTACAGTAACTACAACAAAAGCAAGCACTGATCACCTAAGTCACCTTCCAGAAGGTTCTCAGGCCATTGTATTGCACAGCAAACAAGGCAGAGTAAACAGACATCATGGCAGCAAATTAACAGACAGAACTGTGGAAAGTGTGAATGTTAACAAGAAAATTGGCTTCACGGACATGGCCAAAAGAGAAACTTGTTTTGTTACAGAGTCTGGTTTAAAGCAGAATATAAAAGCAATGGTAGATAGTGGCAAAAAGGACGGACTTGCCAAGGACCAGGTGGCAGACATAAGCACAGAACAAGGTGCTGCAGGAACTGGGCTCATGGGAGCACGAAATGGAAGCACAGGCCCAGGGGAGATGAACGACTCCCCCGCTGGTGGTGAAAGAAGGAGCCAGAACAGTGAAGTAGCCACCAGTGCAGGAAGTGACCAGACGCCCTCTGTTGCTCACCACAGGAATAAAACAGCTGGGCCGGCTGGAGCCGAAAGGACTTTTATGGCCTCTAGTACCGACGGGAAGGACAGAGCCGGCCCCTTACACTCCGTAAAGACAGGGGCTGCCACGACTACCTCAGAAACAAGTGGCCGGGTGGTGGCCTTGCCGTGCACCAGCATTGAGGCCGACGAAGGCCTCATGGCAGGTGCCTGCTCCAGGGACCACCCTCTTGTGGCCGGGGTAGAGCGCTGCGAGGGCACGGTGTTTGCTGCGGCCGAAGAAGGTGGGGGCGTCGTCACCGAGGGCCTTGCCGACAGTGAGACCTTGCTCACAAGCACCAAGGAGGGTGACAGCGGCGAGTGTGCCACTGCTGGGCCTGAAGAGAGAGCAGCCGGCCCAGCGACAGCTCATCCAGGGAAAGCTGGCGATCGTGGGAGCAGCGTGGGAACCGAGGAAAAGGATGACGCGGTGACCAGTGCTGGCTCGGAAGAAAAATGCGACGGTTCGGCCGGTGGAGACTCCGAAATCGTTGTAGGTGCCAGTGTGTTCCATAGTGAAATTGAAAGCGATGGCGCTGTAACAAGTGCCGGAACAGAAATAAGCCAGGGGTCTTTACTCAGCGAAGAGGTAGGTGGGTCCCCGAAAATGACAAGACTGGGCCCCAAAAAAGAAACGGATGGCGCCGTGACATGCACGGTCGCAGAAGGCAGGAGTGATAGCTTGGTCATCTGCTCGGTGACCGGTGCAGGGCCGCAGGAGGAGCACGCGGTCACAGGGGCCAGCGTGGTCCTGGCTGATGGCAACAGGCCGCCCGCTGCAGGTGCCAGCTCAGGAGGAGGCGGCTCCACGGCGGACGGCACGGAGGGCGAGAGTGCTGTCACCAGCACGGGGATCACGGAGGAAGACGGAGAAGGCGCGGCGAGCTGCACTGGCTCCGCGGACCGCAGCGAGGGCTTCGCCGTGAGCTCTGAGCCAGAAGAAGGTGGCGAGCCGGCCATGGACAGCACCGCAACCAAAGAAGTCACCGCTGTGCCGTCGGTCGCCGCCAACGACGACGGCCCTTGCGATGACGAAGGCATCGTGACCAGCACCGGCGCCAAAGAGGACGACGACGAAGGCGAGGGTGTCGTGACCAGCACCGGGAGAGGAAATGAAGTGGGGCGCGCCTCCGCTTTCACTGAAATAGAAGAAAGCGAGGGCGCGTTGGTGTGCGAGAGTGCAGAAGGGGATAGTCAGGTCTGCCCGGAAGTCGAACACATGCCCGCGGAGGCCGGAGCCACCGGCGTCAATGTCAGCGAGGGTGGCGTGGACAGCAGGAGTGGCGTGGAGAAGGGAATGAAAGACGCAGAGATCTGCTCAAGTGCCAAAGGGCTCGTGGACAGCAGTGTGAGCAGCGCAGCGTCCGAGAAGGGCGAGGTGGCGTCCGGGCCTGAAGGTAGTGAGGGCCCCCTGACCGGTGCGGCTTCCGATCACAGTGACGGTCAGCTCCCCACGAAAGAAAAGGTCGAAGATGTCGCCGTTTCTCCCGGTGCGGTGGAGGGTAGCTGTGAGGTCCTCGTGTCCCGAGCAGTCCCAGAATGTGAAGCCGACCCCTCAGCAGGTGAGAAAGGAGACGAGGGCGCCGTAACTTCCGTGGAAAACAAGGAGTGCGATGGGCGCATGGCGAGTCCGGCCAGCGACTGTAGCCCCGACCCACAGAGTTTCGCTGGGCGTGAAAGTCAAGGCAAAGGCTTGATGATTTCCACCAGCAGCACTCAGGGCTGCACCGCTGCGCTCGGCGCGATTCTAACTGTGGAAGGCCATTCCGGTGCCCTGAGAAGGAGCGAGGATGTGGGGGAGGCCAGAGTACACGTAGAAGAGTTTGAAGCCCCCATGCCCAGTGCCGTTTCTGGAGCTGACGGCCTGCCCACCGCCACCAGGACGGAAGAGAAAGACGAGTGCGCCATGATTTCCACAAGCATCAGGGAAGAGTTCGAAGTGCCCATTTCCAGCGCCTCCACCCCCAAATCGGCCGAAGGTCAGCAGCTGGTAGCCTCGGCTGAAGAAAGCCACAAAGGCCCCATCTCAGAGGACTTCGAGGGGCCCATGCCCAGCGCGCCCACCAAAGCTGAGCGGCCCCTTGCCTCCACCAGCAAGGAGGAAAAAGACGAGTGCGCGCTCATCTCCACCAGCCTAGCGGAAGAGCGTGAGGCCTCTGTCGTGAGGGGGGCTGTGGCCCTGGGCGAGAAGGATGGCAATGCCATCATCTCCACCAGCTCGGTGGAAGACTGTGAGGGCCCCGTGTCCAGCGCAGCCCCCCGGAAGCATGGCCGCGTCTCGGCCACACCCACTGAAGAGAGCAGTGACATGGCCCTTATCTCCACGAGCACCTCCCCTGAAGGACGGGAAGCCGCGGTGGTCAGCGCCACCCCGCGTGAGGAGGAAGCGGGCGACGCAGCCATCATCACCACCAGCACATCAGATGCTGCGCCGACGGCCCCCAGTCTGAGCAGACCCAGTGACCTGCCAGCACCGTCCCCTGCAAAGGTGAGCCAGCACACTGTCCTCACGCCCAGCCGCGCTGCAGAGAATGACCGTCTGTGTCCCAGACCCATCACAGAAGAAGAAGACGGAGGCCCTAGGGTGGCAGGAAGCTTCAAAGAGGGGCGACAGAGTGCGCCCATCAGGCTGCTCTCTGCAGTGCGAGGCCAGCCGAACATCTGGCAAGCTGGAGAGAAGGACAGACGTAGCACAGATGGTTCTGGCCAGCTACTGTTGGCGGGAGGAGGCCAGCGTGAGGACACGCGGAGCCTCATTGACACAGAAAGCGAGAATGGGCTGTTGGGCTCTGTTCCGAGAGAGGATGAGCACCCTGAGGCAAGGCCAGCGGGGAGCAGCTCTCCACCAGCATGTTGTTCGGACTTAGAGATGAGCGCTCACTCACTCCTCAGTCTGCAAGGACCAGCAGCAGCAGCAGCATCGGGGCAGACGGCCCAGGCCTCCTCGGTTAGCAATCGCTGTGTGTTAGCCGGAGAGACCCGTGCTAAAAACACTGACCTGCTGGGTTCTCCCATCGTCTCAGCAGCAAGCCACTCCTCTGCCCCCCTGGTCCAGTCAGGGCCTGGGGACTGCCTGAAAGCCACCAACATCGAATGTGTCAATGGCCAAGGATCCGGAGTCACTCCTTCTAAAGCTGCAGGTCTCCCAGCTGCCAGAAATGGCGTGTTGGAGCAAGGAGAACTGTACCCTGTCCCTGTTTCTTCTGAAGAAAATATGTGTGGAAAAGGTGAGAGATTAGAAAACTTTTTCTTGGTGAATGTTAGTTTTCCAGGGATGCAGGTGAGCCTCTCAGCAGATGGCTGGTGGTCAGGACAGTGTCGATTTGAAATATGTTTATCTTGTATCATATTAATAAGCACAATAAGGCTTCCCTAAGATAGACTCACATTTAGAAACTAAAAACCTTAGACCCGCTTCTCCAGTGTGAGAAGAGTCAGGAACTAGGAGACAGAGGGGGCTCGCTAGCCACTTACCTACTTGTCTGGGGCAAGCTTCTGACCCTCGGGCTTCTCAACATGAAGGATACCATGCAAGAGCACTGGAGAGGAGGCTTTTTTATTCTCCCCTCCCCCCTAGCCCATTTTGAAAATGAGGTCAGAGTTGAGATAACTTGCATGACCCTTAAGTTTAATATTTAGGGAAAATGAGTTTGGAAGAGAAAAGAAACGGGTAAAGCTCTAACACAGTGAGGGGCGCAGGTCTTAATAGAAATGGATGGTCACTCTGGAAGGACTGGTTTGGGGGTCGGTCATCATCTTACCACTCAACTTCAGGTCGCTCCTACTGGCAGGCCCTGGGCATACAGAGGCCAGCCGGCCTGACAAGCTATGTGTTCTATGTCATCTGATGAGCACTTAAAAAGGATGAAGCGCATGATCCGATGCGAACTGAGAGAGCACTGAGGCTGGCCTTCAAAGGGCAGAGACTGGCCTCGATGCTCCTTTGCCTATGTAATAAGTGGCGTCTGGGCCTTTGAGCCTGTAACAGATTTAGATCCCATGTAGTCCAGCCCCGTGAGCTATTGCTAATAGGTTTCCCCCCTGCTTATTTGTAGACTCCCAGGGTTCAAACCCTCAGCTGCTAGCTGAAAGGTTGAGTCTCTTGAGTTCATCCTGTCATGCCTAGAGAGAAAGACCTGGTGATCTGTTTCCAAACCCTCGGTTGACTCCCTGTGATTGGAGCACAGCCCTATCTGACACACATGGCACTACACATGACAAAGCATACTAACTCTCAGAAAACTCACTGCCATCGAGCCAGGGTAGAACGGCCCCTGTGAGTTTCTGAGACTGTAACTGTTTATGGGAGTAGAAAGCCCTTTCTCTCTCCCAAAGAGCAGCTGGTAGTTTCGAACTGCAGACCGTGGCAGAACGCAGCTCAGTGTGTAGCCTCTATGCCCCAGGACTCCCTAGAGCATACTGCTTTTAGCCAGGAAAAGGGTTAGAAGGTCATTTCAGCGGCAGGGTCATTTCAGGAGGCCCAGTGGCAGGGTCATTTCAGGAGATACATTTGGGAAGGAAAGTGGAGAAGCAGAAGGTAGAAGGATGAGACTCCAGAGGGAGGACTCCTCTTCTGTTTTGTCTGTCTCGGTGGTTGGCCCTGTCTCCACTTGTGCGGTGTCCGAGTGAAGCAAGTAGAGTGAGCCTCTCCACTCATTCTCACGTTTATTTTACTGAGACTTCCCCTCAGGGATCCCCCAGTTTGCCTTTCAGGAAAACCTTGTTGCCAATCACTGGAAATAAATGCTTGAACATAAGACGTCTCTACAAATCACATTTTAGTGTTCTTTATGGGCAGTCATCTTCCTGGGCAAGCATGAAGTCACCTGACCCCCAGCAAGTGGCCCAGGCTCTCGGCAGATCCTTGTCAAGCCACATGCTCCATTTTCTTGTCTTCTGTTGACAGTCAAGTCATCCCACAGAGAAAGGGGCTGAGTGCGCCTGAGGGCAGCAGCCTTCCGTGGCCTGTAGAGTCAGGATTTATTCTGTGAGTGAAGTCTGCAGTGGGATTAATGGTTTGCATTCCATCAGGCAATGAAGAGACTTCACAGCATATTTCAGGAGCATTGGAACGGAAAGCCAGTTTGAAAACTGAGGTATGGCTGATAACTCCATTATGCCGAACTGTAAGTAGTATAAGTACCATTTCACCATACACACGTCTGCCTGAGCAGCAAAGAGCTCTTGTTCTCATTGTGCAAAACACACCTGAGTATTGTCACATCATGCGGTGGGCGGGGGTGTGTGAGAAGGAACTAAGGGTGATGAGTTAGCCTGTCATCTATTCCACGTCAGCCAGAACCCTGGACCTCCCTCCCCTTCCTCCACATTTCATTGACTGCCAGTTCTTCTAGGTCCATTTCCAAAGTAGAACCTGGACCCCTCAATGCCCCGACTTCCACAGCCGACCCTGTTCTCACCTGCTGCTTTAGTAGCTTCCCCACTGGATTGGGGCTTCTGCCACTCCAGCCTCTCCTACGTTCTTCCACTCACACAGCAGGGAGGTACACAGAAACATCAGCTAGGTCGAGTCCTGGCTCTGCACCAAGTTCCAGGGAGTTTTCCATTGCACATTAGAGTAAATCGGGATTTAGTATGCATGCCCTTGTCCACCTTCATCGATGGCACCTTGAGTACCTGTGACAGGATCATGAATGTTGAAGGGGCTGTGGCCAGTGCGGAGCAGACACAACTGGCCTAGGGGCAGGGGCTACGGAGGAGCCACGGGAAGGCTTGCTTGCCAAGAAGAGAATTTGAATGTTGGAGTGCACCAGAGGAGAAAGGAAAGCAAGGAGACTTCCTGACCCAGGGAGCCACATGTTCTAGTCGCAGGGAGGGCAGGCCATCGTAAATCACCTTATGCTGGGCTCAGCCTGAGTTTCCTCTCAAAAGCAATAGGAGATGGATTGATTTTTCTGTATTGTTTCTTGGTTCTATCTGGCATGTGTTGGTTTTTATATCTTACGGACTTGAAAGTGTCCTTCTGTGTCATTACATTATGCTGATTGTGCTTGTTTGGATCATCGCCCTCTTGTGAAAATCTCACATAATTTACCTCTGTTGGGGTCCTGGACTTTTTTTAGACTCTTGTGCCTTCAGTGGAAGAGACAACTGAAACCCCAGTGCAAACAGAAAGCCCATGTGGAGGAGGTAAGCTCCTTTCTCTGCCTGCATCTCACCTTGTGTTGCAGTGGTGGGTCGGGGAGAAGCCCCGACAGTGCAGCTCATGCTCAGCTGCTGCAGTGGAGGCTTGTGTGTGCCTGTGATGCTGAGCAAGTTTCAGTAGAGCTTCAAGATGAGGCGGGACTAGGAAGAGAGTCCTGGCAGTCTACTTTCTGGCAAGGAGCCAAATAATCCTGTAGATCACATTGGCCATCTGGTCCCACCACCAGGCAGCACAGACAAGGAAGCAAAAGTCCTGGGAACTTGAGAACCTATGCCCAAATTTAAGGCCTTTCTCCTTTTTCATTGTAATGCTAATGCTGGTCAGATGGAGTAGTCAGGATTATTCTGCTTGCAGGTAGCATTAAGCCACACACAAATGTACTTTACTGTATTCGCTCATGAAACTGAAAAGTATTGGTAGAGCTTGATCCAGCAGACACATCTAGCAAAGACCTAGTTTCTTATCCTCCCCAGCCCATTCACAGAGTCATTGCTTTCTCTTCTGGCCTACATCTGGAGAGACTCACTTCAGCCTTGGTACCAGGGCCCCTTCTCAATAGATGACAGGGAGCCCCAAGGGTGGCTGGTTGGCTGACTTAACTCAGGTGCTCTGTTCCTGGGTAGGAGCAGAGTCAGCCCTCAGGGAAGACTTGTGCGTAAGCTGAACCAATCTTTCCTCACCACAACCACCCCTTGAATGGGGCTCTCCAGTCCCTTAAATAGTTACAGTCTTGGGAGCCCACGGCAGCAGTTCTGCTCTGTCCTATAGGGTTGCTGTGAGTCAGAATTGACTAGGTAGCAGTAAGTTTAGTTTTAGTTTTTCAGTTTAACATCTGAAAGTAGCCCTGGCAGTACAGTGGGTAAGTGCTTGGGTGCTAACCAAATGGCCAGTAATTTTGAACCTACCATCTGTTCATGGAATAAAGATGTGCCACTCTGTTTCTGTTATGATGACAGCCCTGGAAACTTAAGAAGCAGTTCTACTGTGTCTCACCCGGGGTCACCTCAGGTTGGAATTGGTTTGGTTTGGCGTTCAAGGTTGTCAAGGCCAAGAAAAGGGTACTGGAGCTTGAACCATTCAGATGCCACGTGCTATGTGTATAAATTGCCACCCATGGCTGGCTAGTGGGAGGTTGTGGGTATCCCTCGGCAAAATATCTGAAAGTGAATGTGCAAAATATACAGCCTCCACAGCCTGCTCAACAAAGGTATCAGCCAGCCCTGGAAGACATCTACTCCTACGGACTGGTTTAAACCCGCTGGACATAATCTATCCAAAATTCAGACAGGTAGATTAGTAAAAATTGATCTCACTGTCTTTTGGTACAAATAATATCTTATTTGTTAATGGCTAAAGGTCACATTTTCAGTTTTTAAAATCCTTTGTTCCAACAGTTTACTTCAGATTGCTTTACTGTGTTTAGATACAGTTGAGTAAGAGATCTACTTACGTAAAAGGAAGTTGTCTAGAAGAAAAATGTGTTTTCTGTCATTATTGAGTAGAAACAGTAGACCTTGTACTTGTTTCTAAGGAATATAAACAGACCACTGCTGCTGGCAGGGATAGGATCTAACTTACTATATGATGGCTTTATTTTTAAGTGAACCAGTGTTCCACTGTAGCTTAACAGCGAGAATGAGTCCTCCCCATTTTCTCAAAAGATTGAGGTAGCCAGCCTACTTAAACCACTGTAGTGACTTACTGGACCATTCCCATCTTCGTGCACGAACCCTAGAGGGCCAGTGGGTAAACACTCGGCTGCAGCTCATCCGGCTCACTGCTCCATGCAGAGCGGTGGGCAGTCTGCTTCCATGAAGGCGTATAGGCTTGGAAACTGGGGAGCAGTTCTTCGATGTCCAATTGTGTTGCCTTGAGTTCCAATCAACTTCTGGGCAATGGTTGGGTTGGGTTTTGGTTACCATTATTGTAAAAATGCAAGCAACAGTAATTCGTACTGTTTCTATGATAATACGACAGAATAGAGATTGTAGAAAATAATTGGCCAGAGTTCTACAGTTCACTGAGGTGAGGAGGCTACTTTGAAATGTAATCCTACTTTGAAATGTAATCCTACTTCACTGGCTTGCAGACTGTTAAATTGGTTTCTCTCTGTAGTTTAGAAGCACTGTTGAACTTCCCTATTTCTCTTTTTTTGAGCAGCTGAACTACCGGAGGAGTCTTCCTGGGTGTGTGAATCGCTAAATGTAAGGCCACTTATATTGTTTGGTTTTGTTGTTGTCTTTCTTTGGGGTCATGTTGTATTGTGTTGGCAGCTGTGGGGTGTGACAGCTGAATGGATGGACTCTTAGGAGGCCAGTTCAACCCGTTGGCATCAGCGCTCACATACTCTCTTCTTTTTCCACATCCACCTTTATCCGCTGAAGTCATGAAGCATAGTTATTTTCCTCAGAAAACGAGTCATTCTGAATTCAGCAACATTGTAGTAAAGTCCTATGTCCACAAAGCTTACTCTTCACAATTTCTCTCAGAAAACATAACTAGAGCATTCTCTAACTCAGAAAACATAAATGAAGAGCATTCATTTCTATCACAGGAGGAAACTGCCCTCTAATGCTAATAAAAACTCATGAAATACATAACTATACACCTACTCTTTGGTAAGATTATAATGCACTTAGAACTTGGATCTTGAGGTCTTACATCAATCTAGACCTGTAGATAAAACCAATTTTCGCTGACAGATTGGAGTTGCCTTGATGCTGTTAGATTGCTTGTCTGAAGGTACTGAACCATCAACATTGTGTACATAG